CCGCCCCCCTCAGATGCCGTCCCAAGCACAAGCTTGGTGGACTGGTGCCTGGAGCCGGCCCTGCCGGCGGCTCAGCACGCTGTGGCTCTGGGGGAGGGGTGAAGTGGGAGAGGGGCCGGGGGAGGTCCCAGCTGGGACTCCTGGGAGCTCAGGTGCGGGACAGGACGGTCCCGCGGGCCGGATGTGGCCCATAGACCGGAGTCGTTTGCCTACCCGCCTGGCCCTTTAACAGCCGGTTCTCCACCGGCGTCTAATTTTAGCAACCGGTTCTTGCGAACCGGTGCGAACCAGCTCCAGCTTACCACTGATCAGCACAGGACTAACTGTTGAGGACATGAGTTTCCCCGGGAGGTTCCCCATCCAGCTGAGTCATGACTAATGCAATGGTGTGACTGCAATGCTCATTAATATAGACACTGGATTTATGGCTCACTACAACAATCTGTAACCCACTAAACCTGGCCTGTAATTGCTGGGACCGTCTCTGGAGCCTTTTAAAAACATTGATGTCATATTAGCTATCCTCCAGTCATCTGGTACAGAAGCTGATTTAAAGGACAGGTTACAAACCACAGTTAGTAGTTCTGCAATTTTCTTCCGAACTCTTGGGCGAATATCATCTGGTTCTGGTGACTTATTGCTGTTTAATTTATCAATTTGTTCCCAAACCTCCTTACTGGTCCTTACTGAATACAGTCAAGTCATGATCAGTGGCCCCAGAGCAACCACAAACATCCAGTCCAGTGATCAGTTCATCTTTATCCACCACAAGGAGGCCCACAATAGAGTCACCCATAGTTGGGTACAAAACTTTGTATTAGAAAAGTATCTATAATTTTTCAAAATCTTCAAGGATGATTTACTCCTGGCTACGTGAGACCTCCCCCATCTGTCTCCCAATAGGAAGTCCCCGGTGCTAACCTCATTTCTTCCCACAAGTCACAGACAGGTGCAAAAGGAGAAACATTTCCTGCTCTCTGGTTTGGATTCAGTGAACTGTGCCAACCCCCTACCGGTTCCGCTGCTGGGCTGTGTTAGTAGCAGATTGATCTCTGTCCATTCGAGGTCCTGGGGTTCTCAATGACCAAGAATGTAAAACAGGTAAAACAGGTAATGATGTGTCTGATGCCGGGGTTCTCAAACTTCATTGCACTCAGACCCCAGCAAGTCTAAGCCAGCCCTGGTGACCCCATTAAAATGGGGTTGCAACCCACAGTTTGAGAACCGCTGGTCTAATGTAAAGTGCCACCCTGCCCACCACTTTTACCCTTTCTCCCCTACCTCAGTGGATTGTAACCAGCGACACTGACATTCCAGTCACACACATTGTCCCACTGGGTTTCCCCATTTCCCCTCCCCAGGGAGAATTTCCAACTCCTCTTCCTTATTGCCCAGATGCCAGTGCCAAGAGCAGTGTTGCTTCCCTTCATGAGTGATATCTTGCAGGGCACATACACTGCAGCACAACATTCCCCTGCGTCCACACTTGTGTTACTGCAGGATGGGTTATCTGTAAGCCAGGGAGAGACTCCATCTCACGTCTCCCTTTCTTCCCTCCACTGGAAGGTGCCGGGGGAGAAAGAGGACGTGTCCCCAGGGCTGAGGCAGCATGGGATTGGCGGTGTTGCAGAATGGGATTGGTGGCGTTGCAGCATGGGATTGCTGGCCTTGCAGCATGCTCACCAGGAACCCTCAAGCCTTCCCTATCAGCTCTGCAGCATCAGAACAGCAGAGCCTGGATTGGAACAAGGGAAAGGCCTGTTTTCCACAGATTCCTTCCCTCAGGCCCGGAGCATTTAGAGCAGAAATCCCTGTGGGAGTTAACGTTGCTCTAAAAAGAGCTGCCAAGGGGTGTGCAGCTTCTTGACAACACCACGCAAAGTGATCTGTTTGTAGAGATGCATAAAGTCCTGCACTGATTTCTCTGAGAGGATTCCTCTGAGCAGTTGGGGGAGGCAGGACCTTATTCCTTACCTCTCGTGACAGGGCTGCGTGAGAGCTTGTAGAGCACCAGAGGCAGCTTTCTAGAGGGTTAATTCAGAAATTCCCTATGGAACCTAGGGGCTGCGGCCTACGGCAGGAAGGAGCCAGGTGGTTGTTGGAGTGACTGTAGGAGAATGCTATGGGATGGCTCTCTGATCACCTCTTCACGCTGCTTCTTCCCACACCCACTTTTGGGGTAAGTCCATCACCTCCTCCTTAGTGCGTGTGGGCTGCAACCCAGATACGGCAGTAGAGAGGTTGGGAGGCCTCGTGGGGGAGGCATGGTGGGGGCCGGGGAGCTATTTACCACCCTGGAGCGTGCAATGCCTGGCACTGAACGGAGCCCACGCACTGCAGGGAGCTGTCCGCGCGGTGAGTGGGGAGCGGAGCTATGCAGTCTGTGGGGTGGTGCGATGCCGGGGGCCCCTTCAGCTGGCCGGAGCCAGGCAGCGGCAGTGGCTCCCCCTGTGGCTCTGTGCTGCCACTTCGGGGCGGGCTTCCCCCCCAGCTCGCAGCCGCGCCGGCTCGCTGCGCTTCCCTGGATGGCGGGAGCCCAGGGCAGCGCTCTCTGGCGCTCTGCGCCATGAACGGGGCCCCAACCCTAAGAGCCAGAGGGACCTGCCAGGGGGGTGAGGTGGGGAGTCCAGGCAGTGCTTAGCTGGGGCGGCTCCTGGAAAGCATCCAGCAGGTCCCTCTGGCTCCTAGGGTCAGGTTGTGGGGGGTGGGGGGGCGGAGGGTTCTCTGCCTGTTGCCGGCGCCTGCAAGCCCCACCCCCACAGCTCTGATTGGGTAGAAAGGAGCTAGTGCAGCACGTGAAGACCCCCTCCGCCTGTGTGCCTAGGGGCAGCCAGCACTGCAGATTCCTGCTGGCGGGTGGGCGTGCCACTGGGAGCTGCCCCAGGAAGTGCCGCCACACCAGCCCCTGGACTTTGGTGGTGATGAGGAGCGGTCCCCGATATCGGGACAAAGGGCGTCCCAACTGATGTGCGGTCGGGACGCCAAACAAATGTGTTAAAATTGGGACTGTCCCGATAATATCGGGACGTCTGGTCACCCTAACCTTTATAGACCTGCCCTTTCATCATACACAGCCATTTTAAAGTTTAGAGTCATAGTAAAGAGACCCATTTTCAACCCTTCACTACACAGGACAAAGCCCGCAGTATTCATCATTAACAATTTCTATTCTCCTGGCTCCCAAACTGCTTTTCCTCCCTACTGTCGCCAGCCACCTTTGAGTTCTCCCTCTTCTCTCCCTGGTTCTGCTCACTTGATTGCAGCAGCTCAGCGGATGGTCCAGATTTGCTCTTACCCTTCCATTCTTCTTCACTTCTGTGGATGGCTGCATTTGCCATTGAGCAGCCTGATGGAAATACCTGAGTCCTCTGTCTAGGCACGCAGGCCCAGCAGCTAAAGCCAAAGCCCCACTGACAGCAGTGGGAGATTAGCCTGGAGTGTCAGGAGTGGAAGTTTGGCCCATGGAGACCAGGCACTGCAGCTGCTGCCACCTACATGGTGAATCCTCCAACCCATCGCCAAACGGCTCTTCCACATTCTGCAAACTGGCCTCATTGGCTGAATATCTAGGAGAACAGAAACTCTTTGTTAGAGCAGGAGAGTCTCTTCAATGCAGCACGCTTTCCACGGCTCCCAGAGGGTCACAGTGAAACACCTGCGAGTCTCTAGGAGTCTCTCAAGGAGTTCCCTGCTCAGGCACTTGGCACCCACTAGCAATGGTCTCTGACAGTAGCATTGCAAAGGGGAGCTCAGCAGATGGTCCTTTCTATGGCTTTCTGAGTGGGAGGGAGGTTGGTCTTGTCATTTAAGGCCTAGCTGTCAGAGTCAGGGCTCCTGGGTTCTCTGGCTTTGGAAGTGGGTGGAGTCTAGTGGTTGGAGCTGGACTGGTATCAGTACCATGCTTCCTTCCTGCCTCTGTCAGTGACGTTTTGTGTGACCTTGCACCCAATTGCTTTCCATCTCTGTGCACCAGCTAACAGAGATAATACTGACCCCCCTCAAAGAGGGGCTGACAGGGGTCACTACCATAATGACTCAAGTTGGAGTGAGTTGTGCTCTTGGCAGCGAGGTGCCCAGATTCAGTCCCCATGGATGCCCAAGGTGTCTATATGTGGCCATGGTTTGACCCACCTAGCATTACAGGCTGTTTAGCCTGGTCCTGGCCATGCGTGGTGCATCTGCTCCTGGCCCTCTCTGGCACACAGCTCCATCACACACAAGAACATGGCCCATCAAGGACAATCTATCAGGTCCCATCTGGTGTTCAGCTCCAAGATGGATGGTGAGCCCTAGTCAGAACATAGAAAGACAAGGTGGTGTTTTTTGGTAGAAACTGCTGGAGCTTCAGCCTCTGCTCCCACCTCCACCAACACGCTAAGGCCTTCAAAAGTGGTCCCTGATCCCAGGTAAACAAATTAGCTGAACTGAGGCCAGGGTGGGTGGAATTACTGCTGGGACTGATCCTAAGAGAAGAGCAGATTTCTCCTCTGCTCTAGGAAGATTCCCATAGGAAAAGCAGCTGGGGTGGGGCTGGGGGCAATACAAGCACTACCCCTCAGCCCTTCAATAGCAGGCAACCAGGACTTTGGGAGCTAAGGTACTGGTGTATCTTGCTGGACAGCAGAAAAGAGCATTGGAGAAATTGTAAAAAAAAGTCAATGTCGCAGCTGGGTCAAGGGCAGTCAGACCTACTGGTCAGAGCCAGAGTCCACACTCACATGAATCTATGTTAGATAAATGTCTATCAGGGATGGTCTAGACAGTATTTGGTCCTGCCATGCGGGCAGGGGACTGGACTCGATGACCTCTCGAGGTCCCTTCCAGTCCTAGAATCTATGAATCTATGACAGGAGTCGAGAGTCAGCTGGGTCAGGATACTGGAAGATCAGAAGCAAAAGACAAACATGCGATCACAACCACAAATCAGATGCCAGGAAATCAAGCCAGGGGAGCGGCAGCAGAAACAGGCAGCACACGGTCCAGAACAGGGAGCAGCCCTGGTGTTCAGTCAGCTTTCTGTTCCTGCTGCTGCCTTAAGCAGGGCCAGGGGGCCAATTAGCTTCTCTGGGACTCCTCCAGTAGGACCTCAGGAGTGGAGTCTCAAACTGGGGCTGAACTTCATGGGTCCTCGGTAAGCAATTTTCAGCAGGCTTCCAAGTGGAGGGTTGGAGTGTGGCTGCTCCCATGAACCCTGCAGACCCGGGTTGAAGACCCCTGGGTTGTGACAGTGAGTGATCTCTCCCTGCTCAAACCTCCTGCAGAAAACAGGATCCTGGACACGTTCGCTAAGAGTAAAATGAGGATATGATGATGAGAAATAGGTCTCTGTACCAGGGCTGGGATCTAGGGAAAGCTTCCAACCAGGATATATAGCAGGAGCCCCCCGTTGCAAGAGCCCCAAGTGGCAGGAAGAGTGAACGGTCCTTACCTCCAGGAGATGCATAGGATCTTCCATCTGAGCCTCAATGAGACTCATGTTATTTGGTTTGACAGGATGAGATCACCTGTCCCCACTGCTCCCTGAGCTGGGCTGGCTGCAGGATACATTTGTGTGAGAGGCTGGGACTGAGCCTGAAAGACAGGTGTGACAACGAGGGTTCTGTCACCCCAGGGGGAGAACTGAGGGTCTGAACCCCAAAGAATAAGCAATTGAATCAACTGATTCAATGCAGAATTATAGTGCCATACAGGTACATCATAAGGTCCTCTGATGGCTTGGTAACTGGTTAAAAGATAGGAAACAAAGGGTGGGAATAAATGGTCAGTTTTCAGAATGAAGAGAGGTAAATGGTGGTGTCCCCCAGGGGTCTGCACTGAGACCAATGCTGTTCAACATATTCATAAATGATCTGGAAAAAGGGGTAAACAGTGAGGTGGCAAAAATTGCAGATGATAAAAAAACTACTCAAGATAGTTAAGTCCCAAGCAGACTGCCAAGAGCTACAAAAGGATCTCCGCAAACTGGGTGACTGGGCAACAAAATGGCAATGTTCAATGTTGATAAATGCAAAGTAATGCACATTGGAAAATACAATCCCAACTCTACTTATAAAATGATGGGGTCTAAATTATCTGTTACCACTCAAGAAAGAGATCTTGGAGTCGTGGATAATTCTCTGAAAATATCCACGCAATGTGCAGCAGCAGTCAAAAATGTGAACAGAATGTTGGGAATCATTAAGGAAGGGATAGATAATAAGACAGAAAATATCATATTGCCTCTATATAAATCCCTGGTATGCCTACATCTTGAATACTGTGTGCAGATGTGCTCGCCCTGCCTCGGAAAGATATATTGGAATTGGAAAAAGTTCAGAAAAGGGCAACAAAAATGATTAGAGGTCTGGAACAGCTCCCAAATGAGGAGAGATTAAGAAGACTGGGACTTTTCAGCTTAGAAAAGAGACAACTAAGGGGGGATATGATAGAGATCCATAAAATCATGACTGCTGTGGAGAAAGTAAATAAGGAAGTGTTATTTGCTCCTTCTCATCATTCAAGAACTAAGGGTCACCAAATGAAATTAATAGGCAGCAGGTTTAAAACTAAAAAAAGGAAGTATTTTTTCACACAACGCACAGTCAACCCGTTGAACTCCTTGCCAGAGGATGTTGTGAAGACCAAGACTATAACAGGGTTCAACAAAGAACTAGGTAAGTTCATAGAGGATAGGTCCATCAATGGCTATTAGCCAGGATGGGTAAGGATGGTGTCCCTAGCCTCTGTTTTCCAGAAGCTGGGAATGGGTGACAGGGGATGGACTACTTGATCATTACCTGTTCTGTTCATTTCCTCTGGGGCACCTGGCATAGGCCACTGTCGGAAGATAGGATACGGGGCTCGATGGACCTTGGGTCTAACCCAGTATGGCCGTTCTTATGTTTGGAAAGCTGACAACACTCTGGTCATGAATATCCTTGTGTGATGTAGATCCAAGTGGGGTATAATGAGTTCTTTACATGTACTGGAAATACGCCCCCTAAAATATATTGAGGGGTCAGACTTGATAAACCAGTTTGGCTTAGAGATGGAGAAGAAATTCCTGTTTGTTTCATGTTCATAGAGCCGTAGCTAACTAGCCAAGGGGGGAGGGGAGAAGAGAGTGTACCAGGGCAAGTGATGGGGTATGACCCAGTCAAGTTCCCAGCTCTCTCCGAGGTTTGTGTACCTCCCGCTAAAGAGCCAGACTTCAGTGGCGATACAGCCCAGCTGTGGTATCAACAGGAATGAGAACGAGGTAGGAAGTTCAGAGCAGCAAGGAAAGCCTAGAGGGGAACTTGAGAAGAGAGGTAGGAAGTGCCCAGGGAAAAGTGCAGCAAAAAGAAAGGAGCAGACCTAGCTGATGGGTACAGGACCCTGGGCTGCTACCAATGTCAGGGTGGGACTGGGTTCCCTTACTGGCCCCAAAGAAGGGGGCATAAATGCGACCAGAGAGGGCTACCAAGCCCAGCAAGGGGGCTGCAGGCTGAGCAAGAGCCCCAGCGATGGCAGAAGGACTTCTTTCTGTGGAAAGACCTCTTTGGACTTCTAGTGTGAGACAAGCTGGGCCCCAGAAGGGTGGACTAAAGGTGGTGACCTGACTGGAGGGCTGAGTTACCAGGCAGAGAAACTGCCATGGTGCTGGAGCGACCATGGATGGGGGATGCGAGCCCAGCGTGTCCCTTAACTCCACGTCACTGCAGAAGAAAGATTTTCTGTTGGCCAGCTGGCACAAGCAAGATCTGAGGATCAAACACTGTCTAATTGTCAGTTAGGATTATCCCCACTACAGAGAGGGGGAAAGTGAGGCACCAAGTGGAAGCGGGACCTGGCTGATTGGGCTGAGCATCTGAATAATCGTTAGAGCAAAAATATAAAAGCCATTAAGTGTCAGAAGAACATTCATCAGGGAACTGGAGAGTTCAAGGCTGGCCAGGAAATACGTAGTATATGGCATAAACCAGTATGCGCTCTGCCACCTCGCTGGTTTTGGAGACAAGGGTACGTCTCTTGGAGAGAGGGGTTAGAGGATCTTTCTCTGAGACACACAACTGTCAATAGTTGGGAACAGAAACCCCATCTGTAATTTTGCTTGCTGGCTCTGCCACAAACTCCACCCTCCAACCATTGTGAGCCAGGAGCAGCAACACCATTCCACTCTCATAGTTACATGTACCTGCCCACCTGCAGACATTGCAGCTAGCACATGCACTGGTGCTGGTGCTGTGATATGAGCTGGATGAACCACCCTGCTGGCCCCCATATCCAGCATTCTCTCTCTGAGCAATCGGTCCTGCTCCCTGCTCTTCCTCTCTTCCTCCAGGAACCCCTGGAGCAGTCTCTCTTCATGGACCATGTCCCTTTCCTCCTTGGCTCTTTTGAAAGCAAGGTTCTCCTTGTTCCTCCTTGCCCCTATCTCCAAAAGCTCCTGCACGGTCCTCCTCCTTCTGGCCCACTGTTGGCCACTTGTAGCACCCACAGTCCCAGGCAGCAGGCTTGACCCAACAGGTGTTGAAGTGTCTTCCAATGGAAGGAAATAGAGGGTATGTTCATTGTATTGCCATGGGGGGAGGGAGAAAGAATCCCCCACTTTGCTTTCCATCTGTCCACAAGGCCAACATTGTGGAATGCTTTGATATCATTCATAAATTCTCATGTACACTCCACCTCACTTCTGCCCTTGGAGGATTCACACACACACCCCCTATGCAGGTGTGTGAGTAACACTGATTTTACTTTAAATCAATACCAAAGAAATTAAGAGGCTGGATCTGGCTGATGCACGGTAGGCTGAAGTCGTGTTTTGGGGACATTTACCAATACTGACTCTGACTTTGTTTCATGCTCCATGAAAAACTTCTAAACATCACCTTCCAGGAACAGAAGGAAATCAGGACCCAAAGTAACATACTTTTGGTTAGAATGCAGCGTTCTGCAGGCAGCAGAGTGGATTCTCACCAACCCTCCTCTCGAATCCAGCAACAGAAAAGCCCGGACGACACAGGGCAAAAGAATGCCTGCTGCACGAAGCACCATCTGAAGTCACCTTCCAAGGAGTTAAAGAGAAGCCAGGATAAAAAAGGATTCAAAATTCACATTGTCACTGCTGGATGAGATAATAATTCACTACCCAAAATATTTATCTGCAGCATTAGATTGGTGTACCCTCAGGGAACTGATGGGCAGGATCCCCAGGGAGAATAACATGAGGTGGAAAGGAGTCCAGGACAGCTGGCTGTATTTTAAAGAATCTTTATTGAGGTTGCAGGAACAAACCATCCCGATGTGTAGAAAGAATAGTAAATATGGCAGGCAACCAGCTTGGCTTAACAGTGAAATCCTTGCTGATCTTAAATACAAGAAAGAAGCTTACAAGAAGTGGAAGATTGAACAAATGACCAGGGAGGAATATAAAAATATTGCTCAGGCATGCAGGAGTGAAATCAGGAAGGCCAAATCACACTTGGAGTTGCAGCTAGCAAGAGATGCTAAGAGTAACAAGAAGGGTTTCTTCAGGTATGTTAGCAACAAGAAGAAGGTCAAGTAAAGTGTGGGCCCCTTACTGAATAAGGGAGGCAATCTAATGACAGAGGATGTGGAAAAAGCTAATATACTCAATGCTTCTTTTGCCTCTGTCTTCACAAATAAGGTCAGCTCCCAGACTACTGCACTGGGAGGCACAGCATGGGGAGGAGGTGACCAGCCCTCTGTGGAAAAAGAAGTGGTTCAGGACTATTTAGAAAAGCTGGTCGAGCACAAGTCCATGGGGCAGGATGCGCTGCATCTGAGGGTGAGAAAAGAGTTAGCGCAGGGGTCGGCAACCTATGGCACGCATGCCAAAGGTGGCACGCAAGCCAATTTTTGATGGCACGCAGCTCCGGCTCAGCCCGCCCCACTCTGGGGTTCCCGCTGCTGGGGTCCAGCTGCCACTGGGGTTGCCAGCTGGGGTCCAGCTGCCGGTCCCACTCAGCGCCCGCTGCTGGCCTGGGGGAAGGAACCCCAGGCTGGCAGCGGGCTGAGACCCCAGCTGGCAGGAGCCAGCGGCGGAAACCCCAGATCTGGGGTGGGCTGAGCTGCTCAGTCGCTGCTCTGGGGTTCTGGCTGCTGGCCCCTTGCCATCCAGGGTCCCCACCTCAGCAGCCCCACTCACCTTGCTTCCCATTGGAGTTCCAGTGCAGGTCCCCTGCCAGACAGGGTCCAGGCCTCTGGCCCTGCTCAGCCCTACCAGCCGCCAGCTCCACTCACCTCAGCTGCTGATCTGGGGTTCCAGCCGCTGACCTCCTGCCAGCCGGGGTCTGGATCTCCAGCCTTGCTCAGCCTGCTTTCCGGCTTGACCCTAACCCTAATAGTAGTTTGGTTATATATTGTAGACTTATAGAGACCTTCTAAAAAATGTTAAAATGTATTACCGGCACGCGAAGCCTTAAATTAGAGTGTATAAATGAAGACTCGGCACACCACTTCTGAAAGGTTGCGACCCCTGTTAGCGGATGTGATTAAAGAGCCATTGGCCATTAGCTTTGAAAACTCATGGCAATCGGGGGAGGTCCCAGATCACTGGAAAAAGGCTAATGTAGTGTCCATCTTTAAAAAAGGGAAGAAGGAGGATCCGGGGAACTACAGGCCAGTCAGCCCGCACCTCCCTGGAAAAATCATGGAGCAGGTCCTCAAGGAATCAATTCTGATGCACTTAGAGGAGAGGAAAGTGATCAGGAACAGTCAGCATGGATTCACCAAGGGCAAGTCGTGCCTGACTAACCTAATTGCCATCTATGACAAGATAACTGGCTCTGTGGATGAGGGGAAAGCAGTGGACGTGTTATTCCTTGACTTTAACATAGCTTTTGATATGGTCTCCCACAGTATTCTTGCCGGCAAGTTAAAGAAGTATGGGCTGGATGAATGGACTATAAGGTGGATAGAAAGCTGGCTAGATTGTCAGACTCAGTGGGTAGTGATTAATGGCTCCATGTCTAGCTGGCAGCCTGTATCAAGCGGAGTGCCCCAAGGGTCGGTCCTGGGGCAGGTTTTGTTCAATATCTTCATTAATGATCTGGAGGATGGCGTGGACTGTACCCTCAGCAAGTTTGCAGATGACACTAAATTGGGAGGAGTGGTAGATATTCTGGAGGGTAGGGATAGGATACAGAGGGACCTAGACAAATTAGAGGATTGGGCCAAAAGAAATCTGATGAGGTTCAACAGAGTCTTGCACTTAGGACGGAAGAATCCCAGGCACTGCTACAGACTAGGGACCAAATGGCTAGGCAGCAGTTCTGGAGAAAAGGACTAGGGGTTACTGTGGATGAGAGCTGGATATGAGTCGACAGTGTGCTCTTGTTGTCAAGAAGGCTAACGGCATTTTGGACTGTATAAGTAGGGGCATTGCCAGGAGATCAAGGGACGTGATCATTCCCCTCTATTTGGCATTGGTGAGGCCTCATCTGGAGTACTGTGTCCAGTTTTGGGCCCCACACTAAAAGAAGGATGTGGAAAAATTGGAACGAGTCCAGCAGAGGGCAACAAAAATGATTAGGGGGTTGGGGCACATGACTTATGAGGAGAGGCTGAGGGAACTGGGATTATTTAGTCTGCAGAAGAGAAGAATGAGGAGGGATTTGATAGCTGCTTTCAACTACCTGAAAGGGGGTTCCAAAGAGGATTGATCTAGACTGTTCTCAGTGGTAGCAGATGACAGAACAAGGAGTAATGGTCTCAAGTTGCAGTGGGGGAGGTTTAAGTTGGATATTAGAAAAAAATTGTTCACTAGGAGGGTGGTGAAGCACTGGAATGGGTTACCTAGGGAGGTGGTGGAATCTCCTTCCTTAGAGGTTTTTAAGGTCAGGCTTGACAAAGCCCTGGCTGGGATGATTTAGTTGGGGATTGGTCCTGCTTTGAGTTGGACTAGATGACCTCCTGAGGTCCCTTCCAACCCTGATATTCTGTGATTTTATCTGTTCCACCCTTGTATTGAACTATGACACTGAGTACCTCTCAGGGCTCATGTATGGGGAAATAGGAGGGTTATATTCTCTCTCAACTGGAAGAGAGAGAATTTCTGACTTCTGAAGCATAGGTGCTGACTTTTGGTTTTGCCTGTGGGTGCTCTCCTGAGGCCCCCCCCCTCCTGAGGCCCGCCCCTGCTCCACCCCCCCAAGACCCTCCTGCTGCACCCCCATGCCCGTCCCGGTCCAGCTGCATGTTGGGGGCTGGTACTTTCAGTGTCTCTGTGCTGCGGGGGATGTTTCTAGAGATGCCTCTGAGCCCCCTGCCAGATGCAGAGAGCCGGGCAGCCGGTGGCCCCCCCAGCATACGGCCGCCCATGCCAGCAGCCAGGCACTGGCTCTCAGTGCAGCCACCTGGGGAGGGGTTTCAGTTCTCCCAGCCACCTCCACCTAGGGTGACCAGATGACAAATGTGAAATATCGGGACGCGGGGAGGTGGAGCAAA